TTTATTCATTCCATTTTAGTTACAAGGAATTATCATGGTCAGCCAGTCTAACTTCTGCCCCAGTGGAACCTACCCCATTTAAAAAGTCCAGTGTTTACCACAGAACTGGATCATGTTCTCTAGGAAAGTATGCCAACCTGAATGTAAATATTTCTAATGACAGATAAATGACTTCTCATAAAATGTTCCAATAATTAACTTTTTAAGCACTAAAATCTGTTCTTTGTGTCTGAAAATTGTGGAGCTTCAATGTCCATTTAATCGTCTGATACTTTTGCTAGAAAGAGGTGCCCATTGTTATCAGATTTTCACTCTGAATTTAAAGCAGTTTGTAATCAGGTTGTCCTTTAATATTTTATTTGATAAAATAAATAGGAAAAGGACCTAGACTTTTTCATAATACCAGTTCTTTCAACATTCTAGTGGCTCTTCTCTAAATCTGTTTCAAATTTTAACATCATTCTTGAAGTGTGAATGCAGGAGACAGATCCCTGTTTCAGCATGAAACAAGACTGCTAACCAGACAAGCAAGATAATTTGAGAACCTACACATATCCTTTAGCCACAACTCTATCTTTTGGGCTCAACCCTGGTTCACTAAATCCCAAGACTTTTTCAGACACACTGCTTTCTGCAGTAAAACTTCTATTACCTTCTCGCAAGAACGTGACTTCATATTTAATTATACTGAAACTAAATTTTTGCTGCAATTAACATGTCAAGTTATTCAGATCCTGCAATAGCAATACCTATCCATTATTCAGTATTTTCTTTGGATTGTAAACATATTGCAAAGAACTAATATACTTTAGCTCACCATTACATATTAAGTTGGTTTTACAGGATCTATTTTTTCCATAAACCTGTATGGATTGGCATTCTTACTAATCCCCCTTTAATAAAAGGGTCTTACATCACTTATCCCATTATTTTCAATGGGACCACTGTCATATGGACAAGTCTGTCATTATCCAGACCAACCTTGTCTTACTGTTGTTGAACACATTTGTTTCCTCTAGTGTTCTAGAATTTCCAAATCAACTCAAAACTTTTTTAAAACTGAAGACTGATGTGGGACAGTGGGTCACCTAGCTCCTAAAAAAGTTAAATTCAAACTGCTTAAATTAGTTAGGATTTAGCAGGTTTAACACATTGATCAGTTGTTGATGGAACAGAAGTACAGGCATCACTTACGGTTTTCCAGCACAAGTATGTTTTAAGTAGAACAGAAATATTGAAATTACTCTACCCTTTTTCCGCTCCCCTATAACAGTAAGAGTCCTGACTTGTAATAGATCAATACCAATTTTCTAATGACTTTTTCTTAACACATTTTAAAATGTCATCTTATTATTAATGAAGCTACTAATAGATTTTTAGTTACTTTTTTCTTTTTTTCTTTCAGCCAGGTATTACAGTTCCTAGCATCTGGTTACATCCACTGTTTCCCCATTCGTTTTAAACTTGGATTTTTCTTTTTTTTAAATTCTTTTCTAGGTAAAGCCAACATAGCCTTCACTTTTATTATAGATTTTGGAAAATCTAAAAAATTCTTTTTAAACACTTCCAAGTTATGATCCATACTTTTTCATTCAAATCTTTTCTCCCTTTCAATACAGTTCATATTTGCTGTGTCTTAAAATGACAAGTACAGTGGACTGAACTTGTATTCACCAATACAGCCATGACCACTGGATAATAAACAAGGACTAATTTCTAATTCTTTAAACAATTTTTCTTTATCTGTCAAGATGGCATATAATATATAATTTCCTTATATTGGGTTCAACAATATTTTAGTCAAGGAGCCTGATATCTAAAATTTCCAGAGATTTTAAGACAGTTCTGGTATGGAAGCATGGAACCTCTAGGATATATCATTCATAGTCGCCCAAGATTAGGAGGTTTTTGTTCTTACATAGAACAGATATCCAGTAGAAAAGGGAATGATCCTATTCCCTCGTGTGATGTCTGTAGTAGACACACAGGAGATCTGCCTTTTGTTCATTATGTGTTAAAACACTAATCACTGGCCTCACATGCACTGATATCCTAGCAATAACACAAAGGCTATAGAACTATATACATCTACATGTATCAAGGCATCCATCTGATAGCAAACAATGTATTTAAGGCTGTAAAATGACCTCTGCTTCCACGTTTAAAGAAATAAGCCTTTTCACATAAAATTTGTTTAAGCCCAGTCTTGCTTTGCAGACTCTTTCGATTCCTTGGACTTTTGCTGTTGGCTATAACAGAAAAAGAATCAGGTCCTTTACTGTGTGTCCATATACAGTCTATTGACCTCAGTTTCCATTATTTCAGAGTAGCCTTCTCATTAAAAAGAATTTCTAAAAAATGAGGACAGAAACAATGAAAATTGATGATAGTTTAAAAAACATTCAGGTAACACTCAAAGTGACTACACAGAGTAGGCATTATCTCTGCAATTCCTTGACGGTCAGTGAAGGTCACAAGACTATGTAATCTGAAAGACTGCTTCAGCAGAAACTCTTTGAAGCTACAGCACATTTAACTTTAGATTTTTCTTCATAAAAATATTCTAATTACAAAGGCTTGGGAATGCATGCAAACCATTTAACAATGCAAATTTTCAAACAAAATAAAACTCTAATTAATGCCGGAAGCTTAATTTTGACTCATTCGTGAGTAAGTTATTGCTAATTAATAACTCACAGAACTTTAGTCCCTGGCAAGTACTCGCTCTGAAAATAACAATATGTTCTCTTAGTGCTAAAAAAAGAAAAAAAAATAAAATAACAAAACAGCTCTACTATTTATATGAATCCTTGAGTTGTCACAGTTCACATTATCAGTTGACAGCAACTTGTATCATGCAGAACAGAGTCATTGTTGGATTCTGAGAGAGCTCCATCTCAGTAAGGAGACCAGAGGCAGACCAGGTAACAAAGAATGTATGGTCATCTACTCTTTGAGGTAGCATCTCTACTACGAGTTGGTAAAGTTGCTGAAGAAAAGTTTTTAATGGTTCTGTTTGTGCTGTGCTAAAATATGTTCCTAAATAAGCAAAATATTTCATGCTTTGGGTTTTTTTTCAAAGATCTGAAAGAAGTTATCTTTGTACTGCATGGTTGAAAATGATCTTCTGTTGATTGTTTCTTTTTCGGTATCAATAAATAACCAAATTAATTTCAGAGAGCATGCATGATGGAGAGTATGGCATGTGGTATGTATCCATTCCTTTCTTCATACATATTATACCCTTTTAAAGAACCAACATTTAAAGAAAATAGAGCTGCTTATTTCGTGTCGGTGGTCATCAGTTTTCTGCAGTCAAAAGGAATTTTCTCACACTCAGATTTCATTTCCATCTTATCCCATGTCAAAGCCACCAGTAAATATTACAAGAAATACGCACATCTTACTGTTTAACTGAATTTTTTTTCCCAACAAAATAAAACATACTCCTTTTACTCCATACTGTTATAAAAGGTATCTCTGAAACTTTTGTATAAGATAGCTCATATAAAAAGCAGTAACAGCCCACAAAATGCATATTCAACTATGTGGAAATACACTAAAAACAAGAAAGCAACAAAAAAATTACCAATTTCAGGCAGAGTTTATTTAGAATGAAATTAAAAACAAGTCGTGTTAATCACTAACAGCCTTTAAGTCTACTATGAAGCTGGAAAAGGCCATTCTGCTACATCCAAAGATGTCTTTTGTATTATTTTAAATGTATTGTAGTGTATTTTAATACTAAATCTTGCTTTCATATAACACCATAGTGCTTTATAGAGAATATCAACTTACTTGTGTATTATCATTAAAAACATTTTAAATGACATTGTAATAATTAGATATACTATGTCTTCATTTTTGTTTGCATTATATTTTCCAGCTACTGGTTTCAGAAAATTACCATTAGTTTTGTTCTTCTCTTCATGAAGAGCATACAGTAATTTGTAGTATCAAGCAAGGATGAAAATGATTGAAATATAGGATTTTTTCTAATGAAATATTATTAATGCATTATAAATTATTGATAGAACACTTCTGGAACTCTTTTCTGATATGCTCATCCTTTTTAGGGAAAATCTCCATAAGAGACACAGCTATTCTGAGAGTATGTTTGGCTTCTGATGCACATTTTCCAACAGCACTATTAAAATATAGACAATATAATGGACTTTTAAGGCCCATTCCAGAGTCCATATCCATTAAAACATTGCATTGAATTCAACTGCAGAATTGCCTAATTGAGAAATACAATTTACCCCTTTGTCTTAGGTACTTTTACAGTACAACAGAGGTTTTACATATTTATATTGAACAGATACTTGGAAAGTATTCTCATGCTACCATCACATCTTAATCTTAGCAATGTTACGCTTGCACCATCTTCACTGTCCATAATAGAAAATGTTACTGTGAATTACTGTTTGAATGTGAAGTTCTAACACTTCATTGACTGCAATCTAAGAGTTTCTCTTCCAACTGAAATCAATGACCAGGTGCGCTAAATGATTTCTACCAGGACAAAGCAGGTAAACAAAGTCCTTGAAAATGCCAGTAGATACCATACCTATTTGTTAAGCTCAACATGTTGCTAAATGTAGGCACAAAGCTTGAGACACAGGCATTTGGTTGGTCTTCCGGCCTCAGAAAACAGAGCAGAAAAGCTTGTACCTTAATACAACCATGGAACTGAGAACTTACGGATAAATTTTAATCCTAAAATTCTAAGCAGCAGTAACATTTTCCTTTATATCAAGTAGGTACATAGGGCATTTTATGTCGAACAATTCACAAAATGGTATAGCCAAAACGATTTTTTACTCAAGAACTTTATCTTAGTACTCATCCATCAATATCCTGGACTCCAAAGGATCATAAAAGAAATAGTCCATTAAAAATCGATGCAAAGCATAACACATCTACTAAAATAATAATATTAAAAAATATTGGAATTTAGTTTAAGAAAATTCTCTTGGCTTTCAGTTGTTTTTTCCTACCTGGCCCATCCCAATCTTCAGTCTCCACAGCAAGCTGCCCTGGTTTCTCTGACCTCGCATCACCATCAGATTCTGCTGCCTCCTGGATGCCTTCTTCATTGCCTGAAAAAACAATCAAAGAAATACAGTATTGACATATTTCAGTAGTGACTTTTAGGCAGAGCTCTTACAATATCCAAACAACTGTTTACATGTGTAAGTGAAAACATATGCATGTCTATAAACAGAGAGAAAATGAAAAAAGTATTATTAGACACATAAACATCTGTGAGTTCCCAGTGACCCAAACAAGCCCTGAGTATCCAATCCTTCCAGTTCCGTGGACAGACAAATCTTGGAAATCAGTGTTTACTCCATATGCTTAAAAAACAGAACCACAACTTGCACCTAATTCTGTAAACCAACGCACAAAAAGTCATTAAGTTTGTATGCACAAATGAAAGAAAGAAATCAGCTTGTTACTCCCCAGGACATATGCTTTCAGTTATGTGTTTTCTTGAATTGACACCTAACTGTTTCTTATGCATTGCAGATTAATGACACTCAGTACAAAAATATGGTCCACTAAACATTCTGGCTTTTCAGGCAACTAGTGGAGACCTACTCTGTGGTATTTAGGCATTTAAGGAACTTGCCCTTAAAGGTTATAAGCTACCAGCAAGTTCCTATGATAATTTTCTCCCTATCAAGCTTTAGCTAAAGAAATGCAACATTTCTGATGAATTTCAGAATTTTCACCATCCGAAAGTACCTGAGAAAGTCTGCCAGCCTTAGTAACTATCCACTATAAGGTTGTACAGGACACGCTGAATATTATGATAAGGTTAAATTTTTAGAGATGACCGTTTAATTATTATTTGAAAAATTCCTTGTTGAAAGTGCAGTTATTTCACTTCAACAAAGATTCTAGGCAAGCTCCATGCAAAAATACATTGAAATAATGACTACGAAAAAATACATCGAAGGTGAGGGGTTCAGGTATTAACACAAAATACTCTGGCCACAGTAATGTGTTAAATGACATGTCTGGGTGCTTATCCAGGCCAGTACTTTACTGCATTGGTCGATTTTTTTTTCACTACTAATCAATCCGAGAAACCCTTGCGTAAGGAGATACTATGAAGAATGGAAAAATCAAACCTACACAATTAACTACATCAGTCAAATAGGACTGAATTACGGTTTAATTTTTTTTAGCAAGCTCGAAGCAAACTTTTTAGAAAACTGTGTCCCACAGAAAAGTGGCAGCACTAAAAAACAAATGCTGTGTATTTTAGAATCTGAAAATCAGACTGTTGATTTAACAATAGCAGAGCAAGAAGGAGCAAAAGGCACAGCAATTAAGCAGTAACTTGTAATTTTTTCCCCACTCATGATAACAAAAGCTTTTATTAGCAACATAGGTAAAGAAATGTGATTACAACAAACCATGCCAGATCCCCATACGTTATCACTGGAGCTATATTTATACCAGATAAGCTTGTGACCCAGAGTTTTCAAGTACATGATTATATACAAACACTATAAAGTATTAACTTCATGTGCACATGTAATGTCTTGTAATAACACATTCTTCCTTGCATTCATAAAACAAACAGGTTTTCAAATCCTAAGTATAAGAGCCTGGTAAACTACTTCTCACACAAACACAATACTATATTCACTCCAGACTCCGATAACAAAAATATAGTACGGTGTATTTGTAGTACTAAAAATATAATCCAGTGTATTCATAGGCACTTAAAGCTAGAAGACATCACGAATTTCTAGTATGATTTTTCTATTAAACACACTGTATAATTTTACCCAGGCATCTGAAGTTCATGTGCGTCAGTTCAATCTGAAGTTAGCTTCAGAAGACCGTCCTAAATACTCACATGCTGAAAAAGCTATGAAGTTTCCTATAAGTAGTTTTAGCAATTATTTGTTTTTAACCAACTACCCTATTTTGAATTAGCATTTGTATAGCTACTTTGTAGTAACCAAACAGAATTCTTCTTTTTTTGGGTGGTGGCCTGAAGAATCTATCAGATATTTTTACCTTCACATATTTCTATTCATAGCTACTTACAGCTGCAACAAATTGTTCTTTATTGGAGAGACGCAAAGGACAATTTTCCAAGGTTCAAACCTGGCAAGATCAACTCCAGTTTTCTCCAAAATGTTGGAAAGCACTTCACAGCAAGGGCAATTCTGATTATGAGTTTCTAACTCAAGCTGTATAATCACCATCAAAAGCTCTTAAAATGTTCTTTGCATGGAAATTTTGTACTAAAGAAAATGTTTTTCCTCCACTGTAAACAATAGATCTCTATGGACTTACATGAGAACAACAACAACAAAAAAATTTAGAAATAATAAGAATTATTCTAGATAGAGCCCAAGCATGGAAAATTTTAGCTGTAAAATACAAAAGTTTTTCCAGGTTATAATATATGCAAACCTGGCGTTAGCATGCAAATTTGAGCATTCTTTCAATCAATGCAACCAACCAGAACATCAAACAAACAAAACTATCAGAATTGAAAGAGGAGGAGAAACTTATGTGAAAAGATTGGGCTGAAGGGCAAAAGAAGGACAGAATTACAGCTAAGGTATACAACTTACAGCACACTAATTAAGTATTTGGAAGATGAGGAAAGATCTGAAAATCTGTTAGCAGATGGCTTAACTTTCCGTTAACTTGCTTTTTCAGTGTTTCATGAAGTATGGTGTTACATGTTTTTCATAATCAAGTTTTCATGAACTAATGCATGTCCTTTGCAAATAGAGTAGAACAAAATGTGTAGAATTTACATTAAGGAAAACTTTGTTTTGCATCCAGAAGTATTTTTAATTATTTTCATTGATATTTTCTACTATTCACCAACTACCAAGTCCATGCATTACACACCTGAAATACCACACTGATTTCTCCTGTTCCCCCATACTACTCTCCCTCCGTACTGAAGCAATCTGCTTGTGAAACCAACAAATGGTACATGACTGTGGGCTTCAGAATCCATCAGTGAAGCAAGTCTATCCCAGGCTCAGCTGAGCGTCAAGGTCAGAGGAAAATGGACAACCAAGTGAACCAATGTACTGGAGACACTGCAACTTTAAGAAGCCAAAAGGAGGCTTAGCACAAGAGCTGATAACAAAAACACATCTCTCAAGCTTTTTTCTTTTCTTTCCCCTTACTTAATGCTACTTTAGCAGCTAACATTTGTTTAGCACAAAGGAGTTTAGTTCCTTACAGAATTTATTTTCTTTCCATTGTTTACTCTTTTTGTTCATTCACCGACTATTTTCCAGTCTCAATAAGACTATTTTTTTATATTTATTTTAAAACTGATTACATTTTTGTTCAATTTACAGGTGTAAACATTTAACTGGATCCAGGACATTTTTTTTTCTGTCTTCCAAGTCATAGAATCATAGAATCATAGAATCATTAAGGTTGGAAAAGACCTCTAAGATCATCGAGTCCAACCATCAACCCACCACCACCATGCCCACTAAACCATGTCCCTAAGTGCCTCATCTACACGTCTTTTAAATACGTGCTTTTTGCTTTATATATACTACTCACTTTGCTCCTAACCTGTTGATTCCTTCCTAATCCCATTGTTTTGTTTTTCTCTCATGCTTATTTCCTCACTTTGCTGCTCAATTACATTTTACATTTAAGTTAAAGGAGAAATAACTTTTTACCATCAACACCAAAGAGCGGTATAGGAGTACCAGCAATGATAAATGCTTTAAAATGAAGCAAACCTGCTTCTGTTTAAGTTTTTCCTTCTGGCAACTAAGATCACTAAATGAATTCTGTCCTTTAAAAGAACACTATTGCATGAAAAAAAGACTCATACGAGCAAGAATCTACAATATCATATAGTACGTTTAGTCATGAGTCAATTAAGCCTATTGGACTTTCAGCTCTTTCTCTATATTTGTTATTGAAGCTACACTTTGGGCAGAATTCTCTGCCTTAGATGTCTGAAAGTTAAGCTAGTCCAGACTAATTATGCAGGAGCTCTTGTAGACAGGGAAGAGAGAAACCTCCACAGTGACTCATCCTATTCGAGGAGACCTGAGATACGAGACCCCTCTTGGTGTCTGAGATAGCTGAAATGAATCATCCTCTGAAACGCGCAGCTTAGACTAGGAACCTATCTTTAGCCAGCTAAAGTTAGGTGAAACAAATCTCTGCCTACGATAAAATGCTGAATACACAAAATACTGCTTAACTAAGAGAAAAAAAAGTCTTATTCAAACAACTTCAGTACTGTAATATGAATAGAATTTTCATCTTGACTTTACTATTTCTTACCAGCATTGACTGTTTCTGTTGCTCTTCAAAAACAGTCCAAAGTTTTTTAATGTGGTTTTTAATATCCTAGTGTTTATCCAATAGATGCAAGTGAACACAGTAAACCACTGTAATTCAAGGTGATACAGTTGGTCAGGGAATCTGAAGACTGTAAAAGAGACGTATTACCAGAAACATGAGAAGGAGAACTCTAACATCTCTGACAACACTGCCAAGGAGGAAAAGAGAGACTTGAATATTAACAAGTAATTTCACTTTAATCTTTTTAACAAATTAAAGACTTCCCAATTTGTACTTAATCAGCTTGTACCACAAGTAGTTGCGCTATTTTAAAGAAGCACATAGGTTAGCAGTTCTTCTCAACCCTGCTGGTTTAATCCATGTTGTTCCTATCAATATTAGGCTCCTACAGAAAGTCTCGTACAATTGAACTTTCTTGAGTAGGAATGTTATAGCAGCTGTTAGTCACTCTATAATGTATTTTGCAATCAGCTAAATCAACAAAGTATTTTTAACAATGAACAGTTCAGAACTGACAGATCTACTTTCTTGTTCACAACTGCTTATCACAGCATAGATATCATATATGTTTGCCAGGTGCTTCCTATAGTTAGGATACCTTCACAGAAGCCGCTCACAAAAGATAAGGTCATAAAAGAGATGAAAAATGTGCAAGCTTCATACACTCATGGTTTTATCATCAGACAAAATAGCTTTGGGTGAAGGACTGTACCGCTCACAAACAGCACACGGCAGCTTATATTAGAGTGAGAGAACATTAAAAGTTTGC